TTTTTTTATATTTTCAACTTTTTATATACATTTATATTTTTTTCTTTTTTTTTTATTGTTCGTATTTTTTTCTAATTTTTTTCATTTTTTGTACCATTCACTGAGTTTTATAGAGGTTTAGTTGTTGACTTTTAAAGTGTTGTTAGTAAAGGAAGTTACGCGTAGCTCCGGATTTTACAGACCCGGTGTTTCAGCCAAATTCTGTGATTCGCTTTTGGGCAATTCCATGTGAAAACATCTAGGGCAAGCAACCCTAAGTCTTAGATTTTGCTGATTTTTACACCACTCAAAGATTTTAACAAGTTATGAACATTCCCAAAATTTTATCATCTAATTTCAAACAGTTTCAAAGATATGACTATTCAAACTTTGCCTTGAACTAACAAAAATCCGCTATTTAAAAAAAATGGTTTTGGTCTTTGTTTCTGTTCTGTATACAATAGAATGCTAAAAATGTGTATGCTTACATATTTTGAGGCAAGGAATCCAATAAAACAGCTTAAAATTTTTGAAAATAAACATAACATCTGTAATTTTGACCTTTATCGCAATTTTACTGGGGCGAGTTTAATTACTAATTCAACTCACCGATATAGCTTGATTTTTATTTATTTTTTTTTTTAGATGTCATCCTGAGTAGTTTAGTTAGAGTTGTTACAAAGAATTGGAATTCCTACCCCCCCCCCTTCCCTCTTTTATTAAACTTTTATTCTCTCCCTCCCCCCCCCCCCTTCTCTTGTTTATTAAACAATATTGATATGAACAAAGAAACTGTACCTCAAATCTAAAAAAAAAAATTTCAGTTATTATTTTCTAAATTTTGAGACTGGTTTAGGTCTTAAAAACTAGGCAATATACTCACTTATAAGAAAAAAAGTTTCCACTCACCTGTTTGTTAAGACTACCTTTCTCCCACCCCCTTCTTCCTTTCTCATCTCCCCCATTTATTACATATGGATAAAAGTTCCTATGTATTAAGCACCTGAGAGTAACTTGACAGTTATGAAACTGAAACAGCTTTAACCATATTGAATTGTTCCTTTAATTGTTGCTTTTTCTGTTTTCTTGGTAATTTTATAAAATTTGATCTTTAACTTTAAAAATTTATTATTTTTTTACTGGGGGTGAATTCAATTATGAAAATGCAGATGTTTAGGCTCAATTTTTATTTCAAAAGTAGTCTTGAATTATTTAGTTAGAGTTATCACAATGAATTGGATTGTGGTCTTTCCTAAAACAAAAATAAAAAAAATTGTCAAATATATATCATTAGTAGATAAATTTAATGAGGAAATTTAGAATCATAATCTTAATTATTATTTTAATTATTTAACAATTATAATCTTTATTATTTTTTAATTATTAAAAAATTTAATAAAATATTTAAAAACCTTTTTATTTAATATTTTATTAAATTTTTATTACTATACTAAACAAGTTTTGACTTAATTAACTATAATGAATAATAAACAATTGTTTTTTGATTGACAAGTGGCCTACAATTGTTTGAGACAATTATTGATAAATATTTAATAAATCAATATTTAATTACGTTGTTTACCATCACATACCGCATTTCATTATTTTATAACTTTTTACATTATACATTGTTAGGAAAGGGAGAGGATTTTAATAAACAGGTGGATAGGAATATTTTATTTTTATTTCTATAGGTGAGTTTATATTTTCCAACTTTTAAGACTTAAACCAGTCTCAAAATTTAGAAAACAATAAACTGAAATCTTTTTTTAGATTTGAGTTTATATCAATATAATAATTAACAGTTCATATCATTTAATAATTGAGGAAAGAGGGGGGGGGGGGAAGAAAGTTTAATAAAAGCGGGAAGGGAGGAGGGGGAAAGGGAGGGGCTCTTAATAAGCTCAGGGTGAGTGGAAAAATTTTCTGAAAGTTATTAAATATGAACTTCTGTGCATTAGGCACATATGAATACCACCTTTTTTTTCCTTTAGTTTTTCATAATTCCTGTTTTATATGTAACAAATTTAAGTAAATTTGACCATATTTTTTCTCCATTTTAAGAAAAGACCACTTTGCGATTCTTTGTAACAACTCCAACTAAACTATTCAGAATGACATCTAAAAAAAAAAAAAATCGAGCTACATCAGCATTTTTGTAATAAAACTCGCCCCAGTAAAATTGAGATAAAGGTCAAATTTACAGGTGTTATGTTTATTTTTAAAAATTTTAGGCTGTTTTATTGGATTCCTTGCCTCAAAATATGTAAGAATACACATTTTTGACTTTCCATTGTACACAGAACAGAAACAAAGATCAAAACCATTTTTTAAAATGGTGGATTTTGTTAGTTCCAGGCAAAGTTTGAATAGTCATATCTTTGAAACTGTTAGAAATTAGATGATAAAATTTTGGGATTGTTCATAAATTGTTTAAATCTTTGAGTGGCGTAAAAATCAGCAAAATCTGAGACTTAAGGTTGCATTTTAAAAAGAAATTGGATGTTTTCACATAAATTGCCCTTTTTCAAGTTTGTTCAAAAGTTGCAAGGTATGAATTTATTTGGCTCTGTTATTTTTTAGAAATGTGTATCAAAATAGACTTTTTTAGAATTATGGAACTTTAATTTTGCATGGATTTTTTTATGTAAAACTTTAGTTATTATGAATTTGATTGTTGTTAAAAATTTGCTTGTTTTTTGAACATCAAGTATATATCAAAGAAATGCTGAATCATTTTTCAAATACAGCCTCTCACTTTTAAAGACCTTTTTTCTTACTACCAGCCATATTTTATTGAAAAAAAAAACATACTAAGACACCTTAAAACTATACCCCATTTTGGTAAAGATTTGTTTGTTTTTTAAACATCAAGTATATATGAAGGGTAAGCTTGTTCATTTTTCTAATATGTTCTCTCACCTTTAAAAACTTTTTTTCTTACTACCTGCCAAATTTGATTGAAAAAAAAGCATGCCCAGACACCTTAAAACTTTACCCCAATGGCTCGTGATCTTGGCAGTATTTCAGATTTGCAAGCAGCAGAGTGGACTATGCATAATAATAATCTTACTCTTGGATTTGATGCTACAACACAAGGTATCCACATTAATAGCATTAACTTAACATCTAACGATAATGCTCTAGATCAGTTAACAGGAGGAACAGCAAACGATTATGAAGGTCCTATATGCACTTCAATTTATTATATGGCATTTTTTTATTCAGATTTTTATCAAAGTAGCTTTGATAAATATCGTAATTATTAAAAATATACCTTATAACACAATGTTAGATAAAGTTGTAGTGAACCCATCTTACTATAAGCAAAGTTTGTGCACTCTGGGGCAAGAATTTGAATGAGCTGAAATGCCATTTGCACCCTCTTGACACAATTGCAGTTTCATGTTGCTCAGTGTTACAGTCTCTTGAGAGTGAGAGTTGCCAATTATTTGGAAATGATTGTATTGCAGTTAAAATTATTTTAGCCATGAACAAAATGAGTTTTATAGACGTAAAAGGTGATCCAAAGATTTGTAAGTTTTTTGGATGAAAACTATCTACCACGGAGTATTATTCCAAGATATCGTGGAAATTGGCTTCATATTCTATTTCTTACTTGTTTTACTTTTATGAAACATTAGAGTGAGCTTAAACATTTCCTCACTGTTGGAACAGTAAAATGTAAAAGTTTGCTAGCAACTCTGAGAGTTGCATTTTGTAATAAAGCTGCCATAAAAGAAATGTGTGTGCTTGCATTGTTTGTAAAAACTCATTACTAGGCCTTGGATGAAAAAGTTTTATGTTTCAGGTGAGGATGCAACTTTTAATCATGTTTTGGTATGCAGATAGTGAAAAAAGTTTTGCTAATTCCACAGTTTGCTACTTGCAAACTAAGATGTAAAAAGTATAAGACTGTAGATTATTTATGCAGTCTAGACCAACTGTCTACAAAAAAAGCTGTTAAGTGGTCCATTCATGTTGCATGAAATAAAAGAAAGTGAAATTGACTGCAACATGCTGAAATTAGAGTTCAGATTTCTAGGAGATTTCAAAACACCAAAAAATGGATGAAAAGAGAAAAAGACAAATAGAAAGAGACCTGTCCTAAATAACTTTTATTGAAATAAAGAATAAACTTAAACACTTGTCAACCAAGCAATTTGATGATTTGGAAGATGTTATGTTTGACAGAACTATTGAAAGGAAGCTCTGCCATGTTGACTCATCCAAATCTGTGATGTATGATGGCAGAGTAGAATAACTAAATAAAAGACAAAGTGATATAATTTATAGTATTTCCTACTGGAAAGATGATTATACCTTGCTTATAATGGCATAATAAATAGCCATTAGTAAGTATGGTAAAAGCCTTTAGGGTAATCTTATACATCTTTAATAGATTTATGAGATGTAGCTTAAATTAGATTAAATATCTATATTAAATCAGTGAATACTCAGTATACATAATTGCTTGCAAGTATAATGGTGTTGCTAATGATACAAATCACACTAGTGCACATTCTTTTTACTTTTTTCAGGTTGTAAGCATGGCTTGGTTTCCATTTGTGGCATGTAAGTTACTTAGCAAAAGCAAGCGTTGACTTTTTTTGATAGACGGCTCTGGCTTACTTTCACTTGGTGTCTATTGTTAAAAATGATTATTATATAGTTTCATTATTAATGAAACTTAGTATTTTAATCATTTACTAAAATGACAAAGTTATTTAACCCTCCAGCGGTCATGGTTGTTTAAATTGATACAAGCCAATCATTATTATCGTGTTTGGGTTTTGTAGTATTGACTTGGTGTTCTGTTTTTTAGTAACCTGTTTTTTTCTTTTCTCTTTAGTTTTACCTTAAAAAGCACAATTAAATAACTTTTTTTGAATGGTATTTTTTATCATTTTATGTAAATTAAAATTAGGTCTTTGCATGTTAGTTTTTTTTTAATTAAATAACATACATTTAATAAAAATAACACTTTTTTAAATGGTTCTAATTGCTTATAGCTAAATTTTTGATTTTTTTTTCATCGTTATTTTTTTATTAAAACAGTTTCAGACGTATTGTATCATTTTGATACAACATCCCTTCTCAAGTTGAAAAAAGACTGCGTCCATTTAAAGACTGCGTCCAGCGGAGGGATAAAAAGACTGCGTCCAGCGAGGGTTAAATCAATGCTTGTAAAATGTCAAGTTAAATAGAAAATTATTTAATTTTAATTTTTAAAAAAAATCAAAAAAGAAGCTATGGAGCCATCCATAAAGGACATCATTCAAAAGGGGGAGGGAGGGAGTTAAGATAAAAAGGACAAAAAATGACAAGGGGGAGAGAGAGAATTGTGAGAAAAGGGTGTCATCTTATAGATTTTTTTTATATTAACTTTATATACATGGGAAACTATGTAAACAATTCTTTTATGAAGTTATAGTTTAAGAATATTTTTTATTTTATTATTTAAAAGTGTGGCAGCAGTTATCAAACCTCAATATTGTTTGCTGCAATTTTATTTTCACATCATGCTTTCAATGCCCAAATCAAAAGATGGATAAAAAAAATTTTAAATTCACTTCTAAAATCTTATAATAATGCTCATTTGACAAAGAAAAAGCTGATTGTCAAAAAGTCGATATAACATGGAATAAAATCAAAAAATATTTTTTATGAAAAATAAGGTAATCCCAATTTTATGACATCCTCTCAAGGGGGTTTAGGGTAAAAAGACTATCAGTGACAAGGGAGAGGGAGGGGGTATAAAATTGCAATAAAAATGGTGACGTCCTTTATGGACAACCCTTATCTTTATTTTTTGTTGGCATTCTGAATAGAATACAATATCTATACACTAGAATACATTCACAATATAAACAGCAATACACATGTGTTCTTTCTGTCTTCTTTATTAAAGTAGCTATATTTGAATCTAGTATTGTCGTGTGTTTATGTTATGAAAAGTGTTTATGTCATGAAAAATAAATTAGTGAAATTTTTTGTTTTTTAGTAGTAATAAAAATGAATGATAAAATTACGTACCAGCTTTCACTATCGCCTTGGTTTTATTTTGTGATTTTATAACTGTATATTCCAGAAACCGATTGTTTAGATAATGTAATTAGTGAGTTTTGTTAGTTTAGTCTGGTGTAGCGTTTTTAAATAACTGCGTTAAATTTTTACTGCGCGGAAACTTTCAACCGTTCAAACTTCATTCGAGGTAAAATAATAACAGAGACAGTCATATTTTAACGTTAT